TCAATACAGATAAGTCTTTTGTTAGTGAGCATGATATAATTATTGATCTGGCTGCACAATTAAGTTACTGCTGCGCAAATGCCCAAGAAGTTATGAACACTCTCAAAAAAATCACTAACAAGCCCAAAGGCTCAGTTCTTCAAGAGCCGCAATTCGCCATCTTTACTAATATTCTATTCAGAGACAGATCCTTTTTTAGATCATTCATCAAAAACAAGTATCTTAAAGGCAACCATCAAATAGAATACGAGGCACTCGAAGAGAAAGTACATATCAAATACAAGAGACAAAACGACTTAGGATATATCAACAGAAGTACAAAAAGAAAAATCCAATGGCTTTTAAACTCAACCCTGTTCATTGCCTATCTCAGATTTACAGACTTGTCAAAACTCAAATACTATGAAGTAGCACAGCTCCTTGAATATGGCTGCAACTATCTTATTAAAGATAATGACAAGACATTGAACTATATCGAAGTACTAGACATCTGCACACAAACACTGTATGAGCCATTACCTCTACTGCCCCAATTCTTTGATCAAATCCTATCAAATATTATAATCAGATTACCATGCCAACTACCAATGAGAGGAAGAACACACCTACCCAAAGTACTCTCAGTCCTACACACCTACTATAAGTTTGATCACATACCAGATTCATTCTTTTACACTTCTCCTCCACTCCCAGAGAAACCAGAGGAACTTAACGAAGTGACCAGACCACTGTTTTCCATTGTTGAAAGAAAGAATTTTAAAACATTTGCTGAAAAAGCTAGGGAACTAAAAAAGCACTACAGAGTTCCACAAAAACTACCCAAATCATATTTCAATCTGCCCCCTCCAAAAGAACCTTTGCCAGCATCATACGAACTTCTTCCACCTCATTTACAACATACTTTCCACATGACCCCATGATAATGGACACACGCGAACTTATTGGCATACTGAGAAAGGAGTACAAGCTTATTACCTTGCCAATAGATTACTACAAGTACAAAAGACCTCTTCCCAGGTCCCCTAACCCACTCCTAGATGAGATTGACATTCCAATCCTAGCAAATACCAAAGAAAATGCAATGGCCTTAATTGCATGGATCGACCCAGCAATCTCACAAACTAATAAAGAAAAACTGCCAAGTAAAATCAGTGAAGTAGATGTCTCACTAGGAATTGGCACCTTCCTGGACTATAGGGATGAGCAATACCAAGAGAAAATTAGAAAACTTGACCAGAGATATGAATTTCTTACACTGCCAGAAGACTGGTTCAAAGCTCCTAAAGCACCTCTTCTCTCAATTGAAGAACTGAACAAATTCAATCAAGAAAATCACATAGATATCCAATTCCCTCTTAGAGATAATGATGACTTACTATTCTACATTGCTCAACTTCACAAGAGTTACAATTTCGACAGACTACCAGACGAATATATACTTGTAGAGGACTTACTGGAGCCTGGTTTTGACCTCATCCCATTTATTTGCTAAGATGAGAAGCTCATCCAATTATATACATTCATTAAACAGTTTCATACAAAATACTACCCTTGACACCAACACCGCTGCCACAATTAAAAATCTTCTTAACATCACAACATTAAATGTCAGAGGCCTCAATGATAAATTAAAGTTAACAACCCTTATACACGACCTCACAAATGAAAAGTCAATAATGTGTTATTCCGAAACCAAAATCTCCACAACTAATCTCCTCCCAAAGAAGCTTAATAACAAGACTATCATCGCAAGCACACCATCAGCATCATCAAAAAATGGATCATGCTTAATTGTAGGCAGTGACCTAGTCAATCACATCTTTGCGACATATGCAGAAAACAAGTACTGGTGCTTAGCCCACCTGAAATTCAAATCAAAAATTGACTTAATCGTTACAGCAGTTTACTTGCCTTATGAGACAAGTGAAAGGAAAAAAGCGACCAAGTCACTTGTAAAGCACTTAAGAAAATTCAAAGGATCAACTCATCAGATATTGGCAGGTGACTTCAACTCCTACCCTACAGGCACCCATCTATCAACGCACTAACAACAAACATTAAAAAAATGATCTACAATTATTTGTTCAATTGGATGGACATAATGAAAGTCCTAAATAGAGAAAGCGAATTTACTCATATAACACAAACTAGTGCATCAAGAATCGATCAAATTTGGTGCACAAACCATCTCAGATCCAAAGTCCTTAGTGCAAAAACCTCAGAGTTCCTATCAATTGTCACATAGCACAAACAAGTTCAAATAATTTTTGATTGGTTTGAACATAAGCTCAGAGCCTTAGGCTGTCGGACTAAGTTATTTGATTGAAAACAAGCCATGCCAGAATAGAGAAGCAACTTTCAAGAAGAAACAGATCTCAGAATCTCTATGAGGGACAGCCACTCTTGGCCCTCATTCAACCACATTATTGTAAACGCAGCCAAGAATAACCTACCACTAGTGAAACCAGTCATGAATAAGGCCCCCCAACACAATGGAGGTCAACATTATAGAACAATCAGACAAATTAAAAAGATTATTTCCAAAAAAAAAAATCTATCTGAGTAAGGGTAACAAGGCACATTGTACAAATTCATGAAAAAATCTTTGGACCTACACTAATTTCTATCAAATCTCTGAACCAGATTAAAAATACACTCATCAAAGAAAGACTTAATGACATCAAAGAGTTTCACACTGAACAAGTCCAGAGAAACATCACCAACAACTTTATCAAATTTTTGGAAAAGACTAAAAAGTTTTATCAAAAAAGCATTAGGCAACCTCAAGCCCTCACTAGACCTCAACTTCATACAAGATGAGCAAGGCATCCTCACAGATGACCCAGAGGAAATTAAAAATATCATAACCAACCATTTCAAAAAGGTCCTAACGAATAACAACTTCGATCTGATCAATCCATATTGACTTGACAAATATGTTTCTATCAGTACAATAGAAGAAGGCACATATAACAACACCTTGAATCCAATCAGCCTTACTGAAGTTAAGAACACACTGCAAGAACTATCTCTAGATAAGACCCCAGGATGCTCAGGTATTACCTATGAGATGATCAACTCCCTCGGACGCGCCTCAAAACAGATACTTCTACAGTTGTACAACAAGGTCATCGATGACAAAATCACTCCACAGAGCTGGAAAAAGTCGACAATCATTCTGCTACCTAAAAAAATTATATAGTCACGAAGAGTTTCAGACACCCACCCAATATCCTTAATCGAGTCAACTAGAAAAGTTTTTACAAAAATAATCAACACTAGACTGTCAAAAACTATATATGAGAACAATATATTGTCAAAAGCTAGCTTTGCAGAGCTACCCAACCAAAGCACAATGGAACCATTAACTATTGCGGCCTCAAGCCTGAACACAGCAAAGAATTTGAACAGCGAACTCTGGCTGGCCTCCTTCGACATCACAAAGACATTCGATTCTGTCAACCTCGACAGTCTCAAAGCTGCCTTAGAGAAAATCAAAATCCCAAATAAGATTATCAACATTTTTCACAGCCTGTTAAACAAACGAGAACTCGCAGTAGCAACAAACTTTAGTAGTATGAATAATATAGAGGTATCAAAAGACCTCGATCAAGGAGAGACACTCTCACCACTCTTATAGACAATTTTCTACAACCCAATGGTGACAACAATTCATAATAATGCCAAGCAACCACTAATCCCATATAGCATCCTCACGTACATAGATGACGTATTTCTTACGGCAAACTCCCTAGATAGCCTTCAAGACCATACAGATATTTTTTGCTTTTTTTTTATCCTTAACAACATCAAATGCAATTCAGACAAAACAATACTCATCACTACCTTAGCTAACAATAATAGTGCAAGGAATACAGGCTTGCGAGTCATAGATACAGTAGTAAGACTGCTTAGCATCAAAACTTCCCTTCAATAACTAGGCAACTTCTTCGCAGGAGACCCAGCTAGAGGTATCCCAAACCAGACCTATATCAAGGATCTAAGCCAGATCATAGAAGCCTGCCACAAACAGAAATGGAATGGCCCAATATTGAAACAAGTGCTGGACTGGACTATCATCTCCAGCAAACTTAACTACTCCCTTCTAACAAGTTCTCTCTCCAAACCGCAATTACAAAAGCTCCAGATCAGAGTTAATAACGCGATCAAAGAAAAGTTTAAAATAGTGTGAGAGTGGATCGGTGAATCTGTCGCTAAAATGGGCAGAACGTCGCGTAACTGTCAATAGGTAAGGGGTCTTAGCGGACTTTTAGGCGTGTAAGATTTGGTCAAGTCAATAGATCGTTTTAATAATTCGTCTCCTTTATTATTTTATTATTTTTTTTTTTTTTTAGTTCACTCTCTTTTTTATATATCTTAATTGGGACGGTTTTACATTCTAAAAATAAAGGTGACATCAATTATCTAATGTCTTCTCACGATGCTCCCTAATTACATAATGCTCAATTACAATTGTTCTACAATATTTGATTGTTTTCGCGATCCTCCCCTTATTACCTAATTCTCAAACACACTACTTTACTACTATTTTAACTATCTTCCATTACTATCACTTACATTTCCCATCTATTATTTCCAAGATCCATAATAGGAACGGGTCCTTCCTGGCACCAACGCGACAATTGATCATATGACTGGCATCACGTTACAATTTTTACCCCCTGACAATAGGAAAAATGATATCTGACAAAATTACTTACTCACAAGCTGGACTCAACCTGATAAACTTAGTGAATAACCAAGATCTTACTTTAATAAAACTTCTTATCGCCAAACTCACTAATACAAAGACCCAAGAAGCTATATCACTAGAAATAAATTTTCTTCAAGCCAGTCTCGCTATCAGGCTCTGCCCGATTTGTCACCCTGAGAAATTCCCAAAAACATGGATTACGCAAGCGGCGACAGCTTCAAAAGTGTACAGAATTAACATCAGCCCCACTTCCTGTCAATACAATTACCCTAAAGAGGAACAATCACTAGGCCTTCACTTCGCATTTGACAATAAATACCTAAAGCATTAGGCATTAGAACTGAGCAGAGAAAATATTAAGTTCTTAGAAGATCTACTTACTTTCCAATCGAACAGAAGGCTATCCTGGCATGAATTTAACACATACTTCCACCCCACACCCAAAGGTCCTATACCTTCCTGGTTCACCAAAATTAATCCCACACCCATTCTTAGAGGAACTTCAACCTGCATACCAAACACGAGAACCAGATTCTGGGCTTTCATTACCAATAACAAACTGAGTTTCATTAAACAAGAGTCAATCGTAACTGTACTTACTCTCAAATAAAGGGAACTTACTATAAATTAACAACAAGTAGGACTCTCAAGAAATGCCAGTGTCATAACAACGGCTCCCAAATCACCATTCCAACCACTAAATCAATGTTCCTTTGGACATACAAGACAAATAATAAACATTGCCTAGCTAATGCGTTAGAGGAAATATGGCTTCAACTTCAATACATTGCTATTTCAGACAATAATCCAAGAGTAGAAATTAGCTTTCATAAATATAGAGATCTACCAGTACAAATCAATACCAATACTATAGAGGATCTTAAACAAGTTATCAACTTCAACAGACTATTTTTGCATTTCAATATTGAGAGCAAAGATGAATTGTTAATGATACATGGACACAACACCAACATAGCTCTACACTCAACAAATCTGCAGCCAATCAATACTCTCTTAGGGTTAATTGGTCTAGTGGAGGTGACCAATGATCAGATATATATATCAGCCAATCTCCCTAAGAAGCTAGACCTACTGTATATACCCCAAGCTATTCTAATCAAAGAGTCAAATTTTCATACAGTTTTTTAAAAGGAAAAATCAACAGCACATGTAAACACAAAACATCAAATTAAGATTAGAGTCAAGCCCAGTCATCTCAGGCTACCAAGACAGTGACATAATCATAGGAATTGATAACCTAGTGGAACTCGAAAGCTATACCTCAAGTCCAAAAATCAAGAATAATTGGAGCTACAGCCCAGTTGTCTGGACCAAAAAAATTCAGTGAACATATAGGCTCGCTGATGTTACTTAGAGCTCGTCAATCAAAAACAGGTGAAAAGTTAGCATGAAAGTATCAACACTTCAAATTTTAGCCAAGGCAAACAAGCTACTAATCAAGAAGGACAAAATAAATACCTTCTCTTTATTAGCCTTTAGACTCAAGCTGCTGAGTAAAACATTGCCATCTAGGTTATTGCTACACAATCGATACCCAAGCACCTATGCTGATAATCTTTGCCCCAGATGCCTTATAGCAGTAGAAACCCAGAGTCACATTTTTAATTGCTATAAAAATATTGCAGCATACAATGAAATGGAGAATAAGATAAGAACAAGTCCAATAAAGCTTGTTAGGAAAAACAACAATAAGAAGTTCTTAACAGAAATCGAAAGAAGAATACAAAAACTAAACTTTGGCCGAAAATCTAATTTAGACAAACTTGCAAGTGGAATGCTAAGCATAGACATACAACTATCTGTCGCCAGTCATGCCAAGATGGCAAACAAAATACTAGCCCTACTATACTCACAAATATGAATTCCAGATATCTATTATGTTGTTTTGATGAAATGTTGTGTGTTGTAATTACTGGAACCCATGCAGAGCACTGATCACATGCTCTTTCTATCCAGTATGTTGTTGTGTTGATTTGATGTATAAAGATAATATGGAATGTGATTAGTATTTTATGTATTGTAGATCATTTAATAGAGATAAGCTGATTACAGTTTTTGGGTTGAAATTTGTGAGCGAGGACTTATAACTAGCCAGAAGATTATATGAAATCTAGTACTAGTTATCATTAGTAGAAAACAAAAAAAACTAAAAAAAATAAAATGCTGCCTCTTGAGAATAGAATTGTTTTTGAGTTGAAAATGGAAGATGTGATTGTTTTATAGCAGTTGTGTATAGAGATGACCTTTACATAAAAAATTTTCTTTTTATTTGTTTTTTCTGTTTCAAGTTATTGTCCAGTGCCATTACCAGTTACTAGACCTCTTAGCATGGGCTCCATTGCTAAAAACCCAGGAGCCAATCTTATTCTTGAAACCCCACTGCTCTAAATCAGTTCTCCAGTTTATGTTCCTTCCAAAAGAACATATTCCACTAGACAAAATTTTTTGGAAGAGAGAAGCTTCCTAAAAAAACATTTTTCTATGGATGGAAATATTGTGGAAAGGAGTTTTTTTTTTTCATACATAATAATTATAAGTTATATAAAATAATAGAAATATAAAAAAAATGTTATATTCATTAGAACAGTTATCTGTATGTGTTAGCATAGAAACAAATGCTTTGGCAATGATACAATAATAAAGATAAATAAACAAAATAGGAAATATTCTAGAGTAACAATAGCACGAAAAGCATAGTGCTAAACAATAACAAAAATAGTAATACAAGAATTATTTTAGAATGAACAACATTTTAAGGATAAATATTAGTAAAAATCAGACAAGGGTAGTGATGATCTTGGACAAAAATCAAGTATAACAATATACTGTATAATATTAGTATTATACATTTTGTTATTATATAATTGAAACTAGTCAATATTCAATCCCAATACTAAATGCAAATTAGCCATTTCTTTACTAAAAAATAATTTAGAATTTCTATTTTTAAAAGTTTTTCAAATATTGCCATTATAAATATTGTATAACAATTCATTAGTGTTTAATTAATTTGTCCAATGCTGAAAATTAGATTCAAAATCTGGATTTTGATATATCTGAAATAATTGCTGCTGAATAGTTGCACAAGAAAAAATTAATTTTGGCTGATTAATGCTTCCATTTAATAATTTGAATTGTATAGATAATAGAATTCTTCTTTGAATTGTTGAATTTATAAATTTGATATGAACTCTCTTTATTATTAATAGCTGATTGTTTTTTTGAAAACTTGGTATATTATTTGTTTATATAATTTGTAACATTTTTGATATGCTACAAAATTAATGAATTGATCTAATAATTCAAGTAATTTTTTGATCATATTGTTAAAGTGAAATATGAACTATATAAATAATGAGAAAAATAAAAGTAAAATGAAGTAGAATATAAAAAGTAATATGATAGATATGCAAAA